GACCGAGTCCTCGGCCTCACTTGCGTTTATCTGTACCTCAATAGCTCTTCTAATTTCACCTCATAACTACGCGTCCTAGACACAAAACAAAAATTGCCATTAGCAAGATCAACAGGGCTTCGGCATGCTGTATATTGACTTTTTCATAGGAATGTTAACCATATGCAAACGTGCCCCTCGTCCCGCTACATCCAGTCCATTCCCTCCTCTTCTCATTGACTTACAGAGGAAAGGCACTACCTGGTCGCCTTAGTGTTTATTAAGGTGATGCAATTACTTGAACTTGGTTTTGCAGACGTTTTGCTTTCGTCTGACTTACCGTCCTAACAGTCGTGGATATCTTCTTCGCAGTCGTTCCGAACGGGCGAGCAGGTCGTTGGACTCATAACGTCGTAACGGTCATCGATTTCTGTTTTACAATAGTTCCGAACGGGCAAGCAGGATTGCCCATTTTGTGAATCGTTTCTGTCGCACCCCGTCGCGTCTGAAATGAAGAATATATGTCAAAACTGGAGAATATAGAACAGCTGTGATAACATTGCAATTACCGACTATGGACGTCACAAAGGGAAAAATAGTTTTAATGTAAATTCTTCTCTCACATTCTTATCAGCAATTGCTTTCACATCCACTTGTTGGACCACTGATGAAACAGTGGTCCGAAGGTGGTCATTATGACAAGTATCACCTTTTTGTGCATCATTTATGATTTTAAACCTTCTCCTACAGTATTTTAGTTTCATAAAAAACAACCTCTTAGGACAAGCTATACCGTAAAATACGAGACCCAAGAAAGTTGAAACAACAGTATTCAGCAGGTCAATGCTCAAAGCAACTTGGTTCCTTTTTTGCCAAGCCACACATACCTATCGACACTAACCACTGAGCTCTGAGGAGACACTGCTAAATTAGGGAATGTACAGTTCGGGGCTTACTCCTGGTAGTGAAAATAATTACTTATTACCACTCTAACATGGATTCTTCAGGGGAGGAGGGGAATAATACTATACTTATACTTATGCACTGCACGTGAAGATTAGTCAACGTCGATAGATGTCTACATGTGAACTATAGATGTTCTTACCACTAGATGAACTGGTTGTCTTCGTGCAAAATGTAGATGTACTTTGCACAGAACGTTCCCGTTGCCGAATTTCTTTACGTATGTATCTATCCGTTTGTTTCGCACCCCGTCGCGTCTGAAATGAAGAATATATGTTAAAACTGGAGAATATAGAACAGTGTGATAACATTGCAATTACCGACTATGGACGTCACAAAGGGAAAATAGTTTTAATGTAAATTCTTCTCTCACATTCTTATCAGCAATTGCTTTCACATCCACTTGTTGGACCACTGATGAAACAGTGGTCCGAAGGTGGCCGTTATGGCAAGGATCACCTTTTTGCGCACCATTTATGATTTTAAACCTTCTCCTACAGTATTTTAGTTTCATAAAAAACAAGCTCTTAGGACAAGCTATACCGTACAATACGAGATCCAAGAAAGTTGAAAAAACAGTATTCAGCAGGCCAATACTCAAAGCAACTTGGTTTCCTTTTTTGCCAAGCCACACATTCTTAACGACATTAACCACTGAGCTCTGAGGAGACACTGCTAAATAAGGGAATGTACAGTTCAGGGCTTACTCCTGGTAGTGAAAGTAAACAACTTATTACCACTCTCAGACGGATTCTTCGGGGGAGGAGGGGAGTTACACTATACTTATACTTATGCACTGCACGTGAAGATTAGTCAACGTCGATGGATGTCTACATGTGAACTATAGATGTTCTTACCTCTATTTAAACTGGTTGTCTTCGTGCAAGACGTATATATGCTTTTCAGAGAATGTCCCAATTGCCGACTTCGATGCCGTATTCCAGTGAGAACGTACAGCCATATGCACAGCCCAGTGCATATTATCAACGTTATCAAGAGCTGACGCTGTCCTTCACAAGCGATCTCTTTAAGAAACAATTCGCTGAGTATCAGCACCTTATTGGTGCCGTTCTTGATGCACTTGTCCACGAAACCAAACGAGCGGCTAATTGTTCCTTCATTGCCATCTCTGTCTTTGTGTCTCCCGTTTGTGGCTAATTTAGTTGAACATAACATACGTGACGGAAAGTTGACAATGTAAGCAGCCTGACAGCCTGCAGTGTTTTTGTGTCCATTGCTAGCAGCCAAATGAATAGGTGCCTGCTGAAAGCCATCGCGTGCGTTCACATCACTTCCATGGTGCAGGAACACTTCTACAATTTGTTTGTGTCCACCACGAACAGCCAAATGAAGGGGAGTCTCACCAAGCTTATTTCTAACGTTGACATCACTTCCATATCGTATTAGGACTTCTGCAACGTTTCTGTGTCCATTCCGAGCAGACAAATGAAGGGGTGTCTGCTGGGAGTCATCTTGTGTCTTAGGCTCGCTTCCATGTTGTATCAAGAATTCTATTATTTCTTGATCTCCTCTCCGAGCAGCCATTAGAAGGGGAGTCTCTCCAAAGATATCTCTAGCGTTGACATCACTTCCATTCTGTATTAAGACTTCTGCAATGTTTCTGTATCTATTATCAGCAGCCAAATGAAGAGGAGTCCTCCCAAACTTATTCCCAGCGTTCACATTGCTTCCATGATGAATCAAGAGCTCTGCGATTTGTTTGTGTCCATAAATGGCAGCTATGTGAAGAGGACTCAGCTGGAACTTGTCATCTCGAGCCTCTACATCACTTCCACGTTGTATTAAGAATTGTACCATTTGGAGATGTCCGTTCATAGTAGCCAAATGGAGGGGAGTATACCCGAGGTTGTTTCTAATGGTGATACCACTTCCATGTTGCACCAAAACTTCTCCAATTTCTTTGTGTCCGGCCAATGCAGCTAAGTGAAGGGGTGTCSWCCCARATCTATTTTCGGCATTGACATCACTTCCACGTTGTATCAAGAKTTGTAAAACGTTTCTGTGTCCATTCAACGRAYACAAWTGAAGAGCAGWCMGCWGYYAGTCATCTCGAGCCTTCACGTCACTTCCATGTCGTATTAGAGCATCCGCAATTTCTTGGCGTCCACTCCAAGCCGCTAAATGAAGAGGTGTCTGCTGTTGATAGTTTTTAGAATTGACATTACTTCCAAGTTTCATCAATAGTTCCGCCAGGTCTTTGTATCCATTCTTTGTCGCCACATGAAGCGGAGTCTCGCCGCTGAAATTTGGAGCATCTAAATCCGAGACGAACTTCAGTAGAGCTTGAGAAATCCGAATATGCCCATTACGAACCGCCCAATGAAGGAGCTGCCCCTCTGCAAGGAAATAAACGCGAAAAGAAAAGGTCACAGATCTTACCATCACATAAATGTACATGTAATACAATGTAGCTGGGGTTTATACAAGACAGTTTCTTCGTTAGTGTTATAACTTGGGCATTGGGCATCACTTGAAAACAGTCCATAAACAAAGATGCGCATTGAGGGGCGATATTTCAAACCAAATTTAAAGTTCTTTTGATAGACATGAGAATTACACGAAGTAGCACTCCTTGCTTCTACCTTTTTGCCTTGCAGCAACGTAAAACAATTCCTTGTATTTACTCTTAAATCATTTAGAATGATGATAAATGTACAAATTGATAGGGGTATGAAACCACAGTATCTGCCTGACCAAACGGCCAATTACATTTTTGAATTTTAATAATAATTGTACTTTAAAGTTTGTGGAAAACACGTACCTGCTATCTTGATTCCTACTTCTAAACACAGTACTGTTGTCACAGCAATGGTCAACAGAAGGAAGCTTTTCAACAGAGCTCCTCTAAAAGGCCTCCACTGGCTGCGTTGATTGTGTCCTGTGTGAAAATACGTGTATATGTTAAGTCCTGATTACCCGAGACTTTAACGGCACTGGGGCAAACCCTTTGGAGAACCACATTCTCCAAACATAAAGCAATATACGTGTTTATAACAATCNACATGTAATACAATGTAGCTGGGTTTATACAAGACAGTTTCTTTGTTAGTGTTATAACTTGGGCATTGGGCATCACTTGAAGATAGTCCATAAACAAAGATGCGCATTGAGGGGCGATATCTCAGACCAAATTTCAAGTTCTTTTGACAGGCATGTGAATTACACGAAATATAGCACTCCTTTCTTTTAGCTTTTTGCCTTGCAACAGCATAAAACAATTCCTTGCATTTACTCTTAAATCATTTGGAACGATGATAGATGTACATATTGATGGGGGTATCTGCCTGACCAAACGGCCAATTACATTTTTTTTTAATAATAATTGTACTTTAAAGTTTGTGGAAAACACGCACCTCCTAGCTTGAATTCTGGTACTAAAAGTACTGTTGTCACAAAAATGGACAACAGAAGGAAGTGTTTCAACAGAGCTCCTCTAGAAGGCCTCCACTGGCTACGTTGATTATGTCCTGTATGAAAATACGTGTATATGTTAAGTCCTGATTGCCTGAGACTTTAAGGGCACTGGGGCAAACCCTTTGGAGAACCACATTCTCCAAACATAAAGCAATATACGTGTTTATAACAATCATCTGATGGTACTATTCTGATCATGAGACTAGGGGATTAACTACAAACACTATCGCTTCTTATTTTTACAGGTTTTGCTGTATTTCAACGATAGAACACAATTAACTGTCTAAACAGAGCTTTATCGTTCAAACTCCGAACTTCTGGTTTTTACCATCTGCTAGTTTCATATAAAATGGAAGAGAAAATGAACAAATTGTTATTTTGAAAGGTCATACCTATTATTTATTTACTTAATAAGTTATTCATTCAAGACTTGTACCTCTGAGACCCCTCTGAGAGAGTACAGTCGAACCTCTATTAAGCAGCCAACCTTTATTAAGCGGCCATTTATCAAAGTCCCGAAATTATTGTCAACTAAAACTAAAACCCCTAGTGACCAGCCACCTCTATTGAAGCGGCCGCGGCGACCTTTTGGTCATCCTAATGAAGGTTTTTCTATTGTCTTTACGCCTATTAAACAGCCACTGAAATTTTAATACACATATTTAATTAACTCTGTTTTGGAAAAGGCCATGGCAGAGGAGAGTCTGAAATAGAAGGTGACGAGGGATAAAAACATTCAAACACACGTTTTTCATAACTGTCTTAAAGTGACTCCATGTTCACTAAGAAATTGACCCAATGGTGATCACCTTCAACGTCACCAAACTCCTATTAAAGCGGCTTAATAAGGGTTTGACTGTATTATAATATCTTACTTTTCGCCTGACTTGGGCCTGTCCTTGTTTCTTGTTTTCTGTCACTGATGTTCTCCCTTTTCTGAGTTCCACCTCCACTTGCTCCTTGGAAAATTCCCCCTCCGAATGATCCCACTTCTTGTGTTTCGTTCACACATGCCCCTTGCTGACTGGAAGTCGTGACATCATCTCCTTTTAGCCATTTCCTTGTCCCTTTAAGAAAGTCATATCCATTAGATAAATTCCAGCTTGGTTTAGAATTACACCCTAAACTAACTATGCCCTAAACTATCTAAAATGAGAGTTATTGCGCTCAAACTCATTACTTATTCATCAAGTTTAAACAAAGGAAATAACGACCGTGACGGTATTTGTATACCTGATCTTAATTAAATATGCAGTACAGATTTTTACAATTTAACTTCAATTCATCATTGTCTCCTTAGTATTAGTTTTGATTGAGAAGATATATCAAACACTCAAGACAGTGTTTGACTACATTTCCAAACACCTTGAAGTGAGATGCGGTCAAACACAGCCTCTCGTGTTTGCTATATATAATTTTAAATCCAAACTTCTGGTAAAGAGAGCACATTTTTGGTGAAGAGAGAGAGCTACATGTAGCATTCACAGGACATGTAGTTTTCAACTGGAAGTGGCTTTTTACCTACTTGAATTATTTACAACTTGACAAAAAAATCAACAAAATATAATCATGGTTATTCTGGAACATTACCATGCATACATACATGTACAACAGCAAGCTTATTTCATTGGTTATTTGTATTCTAGCAGGACTGCATTTTTGCGTCAATATAAGACAGAGGGATTCCTCTGGGATCAGAAACTAATGAATGGGCGTATATCTTAAAATCCCACAGGGGGAACTTCCATATAAAATGAACAGGGGTGCTTGTCATACCATTTAGGGTTTAAAAAGTCGATTTGGTACCTCCTAGGATGTTCAGTCTCAAAAGGTCCCACAGCAAGAGTTTTTGCAATACCTTTTAGGGCATTGAGCCAAAAAAGTTGGTATTGGTTAATGTGTTGCCTTTTTAGAATTGGTACCTCTTAGGGGTGAAAACAAAAAATTCAAGCCATGTTTACAAAACAGGGCCTTTGTATTTCTTAGGGGTTCCTTTCAAAATTTCCGACGGGCACCCTCGTCCATTTCCAATGGGAGTCCCCCCCTCCCCAGGCTAAAAATATCTTACTTTTCGGTTTGGTTGTTTTTCTTTGACTAGGAGCTGTCCTTGCTTCTTCTTCTTCTCTGCCACTCGCAGCAACTTTCTTCGACAATTTGCTAATCCAACTAGACTTCCCAACTGCTGCTGAACCGCACAAAATAATAGTTTTACCATCATCTTTCTGGTCTACCTCATTGTCTAAGTTTGTTCCTGAAACAGTAGGTGCCTCAGATGATGTAACTTCCACAGATGGGGTTAACCTTCCATCTGGCTCTTTCTTTAGTTGTTCATCTTTTGAGAAACGACCTATATTCATTCCGCGCAAACAACAAATCAAGTCAACATTAACTTAAACAAAGGCACTGATAAACAAACTTGGTTTTCGACTGAAGGTGAGTTTTAAACTACACGTTCAAAACTTGTCAAATCATCAACAAAACAAATTATTATTCCTAGATGTTAAAATACATGTACAAGTACAGGCTTATTTCATTTACTAGATGTACTCTCCCAAGGTGCTTTATACTTGTCAGTAAAATACAGGAGAATACCTCTAAGACCTGAAAATAGTCTAGTGAATGAATGTGTACATTAAATTATCTTACTTTTCAGTTGGATGCATTTTTCTTGACCGAGACATGCTCTTGCTTCTTGGTCTCTTTCACTGGTGTTCTCCCTCTTCTGTGTTCCACCTCCAATTTCCTGTCCAAAAATTGGAAATTGACGTACTTTTTGAATCACACATGCCCCTTGCAGTGTGGAAGTCGTAGCATCTCCCTTCCTCCGTTTCCTCCGCAATCTAAACATTCCTGGAGGTAAATTCAAGGTTGGTTTAGAATGAAAAATGGCAGGTTCCTCATAGTTTTTATTATCTGCCAAGTCCAGATCATTGTCTGACTGTGTTTCCACCTCAGCAGATGCCTCGCATGACGTCATGGAAGGGGTTGACTTTACATCTGGTTCTTTGTTTGATCCTCCATCTTTTGAGCAAGGACCTGCACACATCGAGCAATAAACAACATATCAAATCTGGACTGCAAGTGGTCATAACAAAACTTTGCTGGAAAAAATTAAGAGGTAAAACTAATTTTCTCACAACTAGAGTCTACGTTATTGTATATGCAAAGAGTCTCCAAAAGCAGCAATCAACAGTGCACATCAGTCCAGTTTAACTATGGCAAAATAGGTTTGCATCAGAGCGGTTTTCAATTGAGTGTGGTAAATCCAAAACCAGTGGTCAAAATTTGTTGAGGACTCACAACATTTTGACCACCGTGATGATGCATATCGTTGTCGATAAGAGCACAGACCACGCTAAACCACATTCGATTTGTCAAATCCCCAACTTGTGGCTGATTGGAAAAAAATCTATTTGTTACTGTTTACGGTCATGGTAGAAACAAAAATCTGAGAGTTCCAAGATAAAATACTGAGTGATATCGTATACACCAATGATAAGTTGTCCCATTTTAGAATTGAATCGCCTTTGTGTACGTTTTGTTAGAAAGAAGATGAATCCCTCGAGCATTTACTCTTTTATTGTAATATAACAAAAAAATTTTGGCCTGCATTCTCATCTTGGATTATTAAACAAAACATATCTATGGAATTGTTAAGTTAAACATGAATTAATATTCTGTTTGGCGTGTTTAATGACAATGAAAACTTTGCTATTTTGAATCACTAATACTCATTACTAAATCTTTATTTATACATGTAAATTGAACAAAACCAAACCAACATTAAGAGTTTTCTTTGAAAAGATCATATTTAGTTTATCACATAGAGAGAAAAATTGCCAAAAGAAATGACAGGCTCCAAAAGCACTACAAAAAATGGGAAAAAACAATGTCTCTTCTTAACTGAGCATCAATTTAAGGCGACCAAACACAGTTTTGATACCTGTGTCTCATCCTCCTTTATCTCCAAGATGCTTGATCCTTTGGTCGCCAAAAATGGCAACACGCAAGTTAACAACACAAACTTCGGATTTTTGATAGCTAAGCTGACGTATGTGCCATTGCCAATTGGCAACATGAATAAATAATTATAAGCAGGTCTTTAAAATTGGTTTTGTCTGTTTGCAGAAAATCTAGTCGTTAGATTTTCTTTTTCATTTGCATGCAACAAGATTGTAATAATGCTCACAACTCGACACTATTTTAATAATAATTTAGCAGAGAAATCTAATTATCCCTTGTAGAAGGTTAATTGGGATATCTAGAATTGCCCCTATTAAATTTCAAATTTTTTTCAATATTCCAGTTACTTGTTTTCTAAAGTATTTCCATGCCAAATTTCGTGAAATTCTAGCGAGTGGTTCTTGAGAAATAGGCATATTTCCAAGAAAGCTATTCTGCATTCAATCGCAATTTTTTGCAATACTATGCATGCGCTGCATTTTACTTGGTTCTTTCAGTAAAAAAGGAAAAAAACTGAGAATTCCTGGGTGCTTTGCATCGTTACCTTTTCTAGCATACATTTTTAATAAAAGATTCTTAGAGTAAAGCCATACATACACTGTGTTCAAATATGAAGAAAAAAGTACAGATAGCGAGGGCATTGACCAAATAAAATGATCGTTGTATCGACGCCATGTTTGCTTTGTGTAATCCTTGTGTGTGCGCTGAATTGCATTATCAAGAGCGTGTGCGGAAATTGTGTGCGGCCACCTTAAAGTTTTTTGAGCATGCGTCTTGTACTTTATTCAATTTATTTATTCTGTCTTTTGGTTTTTAGTGTATTTTTTTGTTATTGATTGACTAATTGTAGTGTTGCATTATTATATTACTATTTATTTATTTGTTCAGTGTTTTTAGTGTAAGTGCGTCTAGTAAATATGCTTGTAACTGTAATTGTCAATGTAAAAAAATAAAGAAATTTGTTTTGTTAAATTAAAAAAAAATCACAAAGGACACAGACAATCTAGTGGACCAATCAAAACTGATAGTACAAATGTAATCACATGTAGTTGAAGCAAAGTGCAGGAAAACATGTACATGTACGCACAATTCTGGTTTTACTACAGATTAGATGAAAAAGTGGTGCTAGTTTTTTAAGCCAATTGTGTACATGTAGCATAGTAAGTGCAAAACCAATTACCTCTCAACACTCAAATGAAAACAGCTCTAAAACAACATCACTTTTTTTGAACAGAAAAAAGGACAATAGCTTTACTCAGTTATTCCATGTTTATTTTTGAGTCATCGTAAAATACAATCCCTATTTCCCAAACCCTAGATTTTTTGAACCTCCTAAAAGCTTAAAGTTGTTTTGCTCCCTTCAGTCAAACACTGTAATTTAACCCCTGATTTTTCAAACTACCCCATGTTTGCTGCAGTAACTAGTGACAGTGATGTCAAGGATATACTAAATTAATTTTCGAATTTTGGTAACATCACATATAAACGATCTGTAGAACAAAACAAAACTATTTAAATCATTTTACACACCTTCCCCATCCTCTGAATCAGACCATCCAATTTCAAGATCAAACGATCCACAAGAAGAAGTTTCAGCATCCGCGAAATAATCACTTTGGTTGTCATCATCTTTTGACTTTCCACTCTCTAGATCTGTTTCATCTTCAATAACAGCTGCAGAAATAAAGCCACAACACATTTGGATTCAGTATTCACTACATGTCAGCGGCTTCTTTTTGTAGTGTGGCAGGAAGCTACTTAACTAACCCTTTAAGCCCCAATTACGCATATATGCATAATTAATGGTCATGTTCTTTGTACCACTTGGGACGTCATCAAATTAAATGTCATCAGATATTCTTGATAAGCAGATAGTAGCATAAGGATAGGCCTTTCTGTACAATGGTCAGGTTTTGATGTCGACGACATTCCGACGTCACAAATCGAAAAACAATGTTATCAGTTACAGTGCAAAAATGGTGGTAAAATGGTCCACTATTCCTACAGTATGATTGATCAAGGTCCATTTCTAGGCTTTGCCCATAATTAACATCCAACTTCTCATGGCAGCCAGAAAGAACATGCAATGCAAAAGGTAGCCAGAGTAAAAGGGCCGAGAAAAAAAGAAAGGAAAGGGGCAACAAACAAAATTGAAAACGGTTAATGGCAAAAAAAAAAATCCAAATTTTGGCTTATGCACATGCCTGGAATTTAAATATTGCTCAATTTTGTATGTAATCCTTGAAAAATCTCAAGACCTGGTCTAATGGTCTAATGGTTTCAAGACCATTAGACCAGAAAGTTATTGCCTCTGACATAATTACTGTACATAACAAAAAGAGTTTCTAATGTGTAATTTACCAGTACATTTGTTTTAGTTTCTGTTCCAGAAAAAAACTTGATAAAAATAATATATATCATAATAATAATAATAATAATAATAATAATTCATATAATTTTAATAATTTATCATACATGTCATTATCACAAACCGATTATCCTTATCAATGACCTGCAGCAACGTTGTCATGAAATATTGCTCTAATAGAAAAGATATATTATGTACTTACAAGATTGTTTCTGAATCTTGTTGACTGCTTCAATAAGTTCTAACCAATCAATTGCATTGGGCTTATCATCACTGCCACTTTCTTTGGATAACCTGCAAATCAAGGCAATCAGCGACACATCACTAGTTATCAATAAGATTGATGACACAGCAAGCTAAGATATTCACAATTAATTCCTCTACCATGCCTAACAACATGCATTGGCACTAATTTGGGAAGGGAATTACTGATGCCGCAATCTTCTGCTAGTAGGAAATGTAAAATCTACAATTACATGTAAATAAACCATGCCAAAAACATCCATCCAAACTATTACTTAAGACACAGTTTTCAATGATCAAAAAGCAATCAAAATAACATTTTCCTAAGAAAGTAGCCATGTGAACTTTACACCATAGGGGTCATCAACTAACCTTGTGTTGACATCTTGCAAGTACTGTGCCAAGTCGTCATGGCCATTGGCCCTGGCAACATCCTCTGGTAGTTGAGGTCGATCCTTGTATGCATCAAATATGAGTTTTCCAGCTGATGTATTAAAGATCATTTGGATAAACTGTTGAGCATTTGTCTGAGCTGCCGTATAGACAAGTAGCTGAAGACCTTTGAGAGCTTGTGCATGTGTTCCTTGAACTGAAGAACCTAATCAAGTCAGGCAACAGAATATTATTATGTCAGTTGGCATAAATCTTCCATTGCATTGGCTCTTGTTACACAAGTCCTATTGTTTCTTACCTTGGTCTTGCAAAGTGAATGGACCCAGGTTCTGTGCAAGGTTACCATCACTTCCAAAAAAGCCGTGTTCTTGGGACCACATGGTTAGGTACAAGGACTGCAGTGCTGGGTCTTTAACAACCTGTTTCAATACCTCCTGTATCTCATCGACATACATGAAATATGTCATCCCCAGCAAACGGCCATCTTGTGTCTTGACTGTCACAGGAACAGGGCCAGGCTGTTGGGAGGCTGTAATGAAATGTTTAAAAAAACATTTACAGTTCAACCCCTTTTAAGTGGCCACCCCTATTAGGCAGCCAGTAATGAAATGTTTAAAAAAACATTTACAGTTCAACCCCTTTTAAGTGGCCACCCCTATTAGGCAGCCAGTAATCAAAGTCCCGATGAGGTGTTTTCTATTGTTTTTACCTCTATTTAGCAGCCAACCCCTTTTAAGAGTCCCTGTGCATAAAAATGGAAAATAACTCGGCAAGGGTCGAAAATTCGATTTCACTCATATTTTCATGTTAGATAGGCTAGGGCATGGCAAAAACTACTGGATAGTTTTTTCGGCAAAATATCCTTTTATTTCAAAGAAATATGCAAATTACCAAATTCCGTTAAAATCGTCATTTAACGCATCATTTTATTACACAAGTTTGAGAGCCTCGCATGCAAAACCACATCATTCTTCCGTCTTTAAAACACTCAAATATTTTTGTGCAATGTT